CTTCTCCAAGGAGTTTCAAATGTTCAAATTTAAAGCTTAAGCTTCCCACCTCCCCACCCCCTCTTTTTAAGAATAGATTCACTTTTAAAAAGAAAAGAGTCAACACCTGGGGAGAAAATTATCCTAATAAAATAGAAGTGTAGTCAGGAAAAAAAAGAAGAAAATTTTTATCAGAGTGGAATGGAGGAATGATCATTCATAGGCTTGGTCAAATACAGGGACATTTCTGAATCAAAGTTCCCTAAGTCCTGGGGCTTCTGTTGGGCAGGTAATCTAGTCAGAGGCACACAAAAGGAGGCTTTTAGAAAAATCATCCTCAAGGAGTCCATGTTGGCCTTTCATGCACTCAACACACAAAGTCTGTGGCTAGCAGCAGTAGCTTTGGCACCTGTTAGACCTGGGATCGAATCTCTGGCCCGTCGTGATTAACATTATAACCAGAGAGCCCAGCCAGTTCCCCTTCAGGAACACCCCTTTGTGCAGAGTAGAACTGAAGCTCTGTAGGGGGTTCAAGGCCATGACCTTGTGGAAACAGAGCGCCAGGCCTATCCGTCCACAGCATCTTTGGGCGAGTTCAAACTGCCAACCCTTTAGCTGGTAGCTGCCTATTTAATCCAAGGACACCTGTGTACATTGCTTAAAGTCTCCAACCTTCACTTTCCTTACCTGCAAAGGCAGAGGAGATACAGTTGATGATATTAAGTGGGGGACATTTCGGAAATCTTTAACCCAGTGCCTTGAGTAAATGCTCAATAAGTAGAAATTAAGATATTCTTAGATATGCTACTTTTAGATTCTCTTTAGCATTTCAAAAAGTTTCCAGTTAAGGGACTGGGCTCCAAAATCAAAAACAGCTGAGTACAAAAATGCAAAAACTGTCACCGGCTTTCCCAATCTCTTTAAAATACAATTAGGAGACCATACCTTCTCAAAGGCACACTGAGGGTTTCTGCAAACAGCAGGTTTACAGATAACGATATCACCATGGCAACGGCAGTTCTGGCATGAATCGGGCTTCCAAATTGTGGCATCCTGCGAAGAAGCATAAGCTCGGAGTTAAAAACTGATCAGTCAAGGTATGAGCACACAGAAGCAGCCCCATCCACCGCCCCACTGGCGGCACAATTAAAAGGCAAAGGAAAGTCACAGGCATGTATGGTACTTGCTGGGCACTGATTAAGCCCCACGGGGCAATAAAAGCAGGATAATTCATTTCAGGACAGTCAACCCACGGAGTCGAAGACAAGGGCATGCTGCAGAGAGTTGTCGATACCCTGAGTAAAAACCATCGATTGGCCTGAAATCTCGGGAGGACAAGCCTTTCCCTGACTTGAAGTTTCTTTGCTGTTAACTAGCAGAGACCATCCAAGCATGTTTCAAGGAAAATGACTCTTAGACTAAGACCAGTGAGCATCGTACAGCAGGAGTTACCTCTATAAACACCCACAACTTCCCTTTCCCGTTCTTTGATACCATCCCCTCTTGACATTCATCAGAAACAAACAAGATCTGAATAAGTAGTTCTTTATTTTTTCAGGTTGATCAACCAACACACATGTAGTGTGGCTACTACATGCTCAATTGTGTGCTAGGCAAACCTCCGCCACTTGATTCCACCTCATGGCAATACCTTATGTTGCAGAGTAGAACCGCACGCCCTATGATATTCAAGGCTGTGACCCTCTGGATGCAGATCACCAGGCCTTTCTTCTGAGGCACCCCTAGGTGGGTTTGGATCACAAGTCTTTCAGTGGAACACGTAAGTGATTTGTAAGTATGGCACCATCCCTAAGAACCTCAGAAATTATGTTGGATAATTAGCATGAGGACGTGTGTATATACACATATATATTGTTGTGAGGTGCCATTGAGTCGGTTCTGACTCAGAGTGACTCTCTGTACAACAAGACGCCACCCAGTCTGGCACCCTCACAACCGTTCTGAAGTTTGAGCCCACTGTTGCAGCCACTGTGTCAATCCGTCCAGTGGAGGGTTCCTGGTTTTTGCTGCCCCTCCACCTCACCAAGCATGATGTCCTTTTCCAGGACTGGTCTCTCCTGGCAGTATGTCCAACGAATGTGAGACAAAGTTTCTCCATCCTTAATCTCTAAAGAATATTCTGGCTGTACTTCTTCCAAGGGATATGATTTTGATGGTACTATGTTATTTTTCCACAAAATGAAGAAGGAATCTAGGCTTAGTGCAAAGAAGTCTCAGACACTTCTTTCATTGCCCGTGATGCTGGGTGCCTAGTCCAACTGTGCCCATCTGTGGCGTCGCTTTGAACCCAATTAGTACAGAGATCCCATCAAGGGCTTTGTTTCCCTCCTTTAAAAGGCTGCTCTACCGACAAATTGAAGACATAAAGACACCAAACATGGCAGTAGAATGTAGCTTTCCCTGGTTTTCTGAACCCAAATTCCTTCTGTATGCGGGTTTCATGTAAGTCATATGGTTTGGATAACCTTTGAACACTAAAGCTCATGGCAATCTGCTTCCTTGGATGACAGGCTTGAAAAAGCTTGTTGTTGGGAGGAGGGGAGGTTCAACTCTGTCCTATAGAGTCACCTACCACGTGTTGGAATTGACTCCATAGCAACGGGTTTGGTTTTTGGTTCACATTATTCTCTGTTTAAACCTACCCAGGGGCTCATCACGTTACCTGCAATGGGGAAAACACAGACTCCATAAACTGGCAGCAGCCTCTCTCTGGTCTTGGCAGAGCTTCCCACCCTCCTGAGACGTTCATTCCTCCACTACAACTTGGTGTGGGCAGTCACAAAACAAAACATAACCAGACACATAGCCACTGGGTCGATTCCGTTTTATGGCAGAGCCGGGTTTCACAGGGTAGAATTGCGCCATAGGATTTTTTTGACTATAACCCGGAGCCTCGGGTGGTGCGGTGTACACTCAACGACTGCTAGCTGAAAGGGCGAAAGTTTTAATTCTCCCAGAGGTACCTTGGAGGGCAGGCTTGGCAATCTGCTCCTGAAGGGCCACAGCCTGGCAAACCCGTGGGAACACAGTTCCACTCTGCACTCGGAAGCAGCTATGAGCTGGCATCGACTTGACGGCAACCATAACTACACTCTTGATGGAAGCAGATCGCCAGGTCTTTCCTCCAAGGTGCCACCTGGAGAGTGGGACTCGCCCAAATTTCCTACCACTTGTACCACCTTTTGGAAACTCTCAGCCTCTCATTCTCTGGACCTGTTCCTGGGATTGCCCCTGTCCTGACTCCCCCAGAGTGTAAACCAGCACTTTTCTTTCAAGCTTCAAGCTAAAACAAGAACCATTTCCCAGGTGATGTAGTGGTTACGCACTGGGCTGATAACCACAAGGTCAACAGTTCGAAACCACCCGCTGATCCTAGACAGGGCAGCTGTTGGACACCCACAGGGGCAGAGCTGTCCGGTCTTATTGGGATGCTCTGAGTTGAAAATGACTCAATGGCAGAGAGTTTGAGGTTTTTAACCCTATACCCCTGGCTCCCCCTCAGGGTGAAGCTCTTCACCACTTCTCTGTGGTTCCCGTTCCTTGCTCACAAGATGACCCTTGACTACACTCATTTACACTTCTGTCTGCCTTGCAGAAGTAGACTTCAAGTCTCTTACAGAGGGACTGTCCATGGCTGGATGTAATGTAGACCCTTAATAAGCGCAGCGCTAGCTGTTCAGAAATTGCTTCCTACGTCCACTGCCATCAAGTTGATTCTGACTCATAGTGACCTTGTAAGGGCAGAATAGTACTGCTCCATAGAGTTTCCAAGACTGAAAATCTTTACAGGATCAGACAGCCTCATCATTCTCCTAAGGAGTAGTTGATAGGTTTGAACCACTGACCTTGTAGTTAGCACTCCAATTTAACCTACTGTGCCACCAAGGCTCCTAGGAGTTGCTTATTGTTGCTAGGTGCCATGAAGTTGGTTCTGACTCATTGAAATTCTATGTACAAAATGAAACACTGCTCGGTCCCACACAATCCTAACAATTGTTCTTATGTTTGGGCCCATTGTTACAGCCGCTGTGTCAATCCATTTTGTCAAAGGCCTTCCCTTTTTGGCTGCCCCTCGACTTTCCAAGCATGGTGTCTCTCTCCAGGCACTGGTCTCTCCTGACATGTCCTAAGTTCATGAGACCAAGTCTCGTGATACTTACCTCTAAGGAGCATTCTGGCTGTACTTCTAACGAGACAGCTTTGTTTTTTTTTTGGCAGTCCATGGTACTACAACATTCTTCTCCAGCCCCATAATTCAAACGTTTCAGTTCTTCTCTGGTCTTCCTTGGTCAACATCCATCTTTCACATGCTTAGGAGGCCACTGAAAACACCATGGCTTGGGTCAGGCTCATCTGAGTGCTCAAAGTAACATCTTTACTTTGCAACACTTTAAGGCGGTCTTGTGCATCAGATTTACCCATAGCAACGTGTCCGTTGATCTCTTGATGCCTGCTTCCATGCGAACTGATTGGGGATCCAAGCAAGACAAAAATCCACGACAACCCCTATCTTTTCTCCATTTATCGCAATGTTACTACTGGTCCAGTTTGTGAGAGTTGCTGTTTCATTTGCATTGAGTTGCTTAATGAAGTTTTTAGGTTTGGGGTGGGTTTTTTTCCCCCCTCCTTCTTTGTAGACTCTCACCTTTTTTCTCAGCCAACTGACGTTGTACTAAAATACTTTGCAGGAGAAATAAGAGAGGTTTCTAGATTTCTTGTACCGTCCTCCTGGGAGGGCACTAAGCTAGCCAAAGACCAGCACTTCTGACTTAAGCTGGGAGGAGCTGGGCCGCTGATGGATGTTAGGAATAGATTCTGTCACACGGAAAAGGACAAAAATCAATACTTAGAGCCGATTTATGTGTCCACACACGTGCAAAGTTGAGGGCATCTGTTTAAATTGAGAAATGCTAATTCCTAACGTTTGAGCGATTGTGCTTCAAACCAAGAGACCGCTCCTACGTCATTTAGGAGATATGAAACGGATCTTAGGTGTGCCTGGGAAACCTGATGGGACAAATGGTTCACGTGCTTTGCTGCTAGTGAAACGTAAAGGTTTGAACCCACATAGAAGTGACCCCAAAGGCCAATCTAGCAATCTACTGGAAGACAAACAAGCCATTGGAATTATGGAGCACACAGTTCTACCCTGACACTCTGGGGGCTCCATGGATTGGAGTGGACTCAAGGAAAACAGGCTTGGTTTGATTTCACGGCACAACTACATTCCCAGTGTCAGATTCACACAAAAAATTGCATCAACATGAATGAGAGTCACAATCTGGCTTGGAATTCCTGTGAAATTCTTTCTCTTGACAGTTATAGCACATTTCTCTGAAACTGGCGATTGCATGCTAGCTACCGTCTACTCTTAATCCAAACAGAGAATAATGACAAGAAAGGTGAGGAAAAAACCAAATTGCATTCCAAAGCACTACATAATAAATACATTTTTCCTGCCAATTTCAAGAAAATAGGATAGAGATTTGATAAAAGTGACAATTTTATGAAGCCAGCTGACTGCTGGTTATTGATCACGCAGCTAATGATGATCACTTTTTAAGTAAGATGTGCACATCGCAGGAGACGTACGTGGCTTTGCAGGTTCTCCTGGCCTCTGTCATCATCTCAGAAATTTGGACTCAGAAGAGGGAAGCAGCTCTGAGCCAATGCGATGCAAAGCACGTCTAGGCAGCACAACACCACAGCACAACGTGCTGACACCGTTATTATTACTTCTGCTTAACAGATGAGGAAACAGGATGAGAGAATAGAGTCATTTTGCCAAGTTGATAAAGCTTTTATAGAACCTAAGAATGCACACTCTAAAGCCAAACTACTTCATGTGAATCCCAGCATCATTTACTAACTGTTGAGTCTGTTAACAAACTAAACCATCTATGTCCCACGTTCTTCACCGGGAAAGTAGAGGATGATACATTTTTTTTAATTAAACAGCTTTATTGAATATATTTTACATATCATATGACTAACTAGTACAATCATCTCCACAATTAATTTTGGAACATTTA